AGGAATTTCTAATATTGGAAAAAGCTAATTTGAAGGAATTAAAAAGCAAAAAAAAAAAAAAAAAAAAAAAAAAAAAAAATTGTTATAAAAATTGATGTCGTGAAAATTTTAATTATAGAAAACTTATTTTTTTAAATGCAAAAGTTGTCGTATTTAAAATTTTATGTAAAAATATATAATTTTTTTTTTCAAATTAATAACAAAAAATATCTGAAAAATTCTGGAAAATTAAAGGAGTTTTAAGTGAATTTCTGGAATTCCCAGAAAAAACTCATCTACGTAATAGATGAGTTTTATGCTATAGATCAAAATCAAGCAAATGTTGCCATTTTCAAGTGAAAGTCAAACTGTAAAACTTGATACATGTTTTAATATGTTTTAAAATTGCATAATTTCAAGTTTACATAAGTTAGAAATTTGCAAACAATTTCGTTGATTTTTTTTTTATAAAAAAGTGCTATGACTATTTCTCGCCATTACCTCGGTTGCAATGGCTGCCAAGGGTTCTGTGTCAAACACTCTCGAAAGGGCACTACTACTAACAGCACTACTATTAAGTTCGGCAACAATATATAGAAATATAAATTCATTTCTTTGCGATGACATTGCAAATGGTGGAAGCGTTTATTTAATGTCAAAAAGGAAAAAAAGAGAAATGGAAAAACAAAGGAAATTATCTTAATGAACAAAAAAAATTAACTAAAAGTAAAGAAAAGCAAAAAAATGTTGAAAGCTAACGAAACGAATGAAAAGATTGAAGAAAAAATAAAACAAAAAAAGAATTAATAAAATAAAACAAACTTTATCTAATTTTTAATATTTAGATTAATATTAAGATTTAATAAAACAAAAACAAAACAAAAATCAATGAAAAGCAAAGTATCAAATTAAAAGAAAAAAAGTTCGAAAAATATTAGAAATAATAATAAAAATAAACTAATTAAAACATAAAAATAAATCGCCACCAATTTTTTCACGCCATTCTCTTAATATAAATTTTTTCCCAAATCATTGCCAAATCATTCTCTTAATATAAACACATGTCTCAGAGGTTTGATATTCCTTTAAGTTTGCTTTTAAGTTTGTGTAAAGTTTGTTATTATTTGTTGTTGTTGTTTTTTTTTAATGTTTTTCACTGTTGTTATTAAATGTCTTTATACTTTCTTGTCTTATAATTTAATTTATTAAAATGATTAGTTTGCTTCTTTTTTTTAATATTTTAATTCAGGCTTTTATTTTTTAATATTGTTGTTGGTTTTTTGTTTGTTTATTCTATTTAGGTGTCAAATGATTAGTTTTTAACTATATGAGTGACTGTTAACCTAATTTTATTAAATTATAATAAATAGTTTTTCAATTTCTGGTTGAATAAATAGATATTTAAAAAATTGTACTTTTTATTTATTTGAACATTATTTTATTACATTATTTAACCAAATTAGTAAGAAACTTATAAATTGCATGACTTTTATAATTATGAGAAAAAACTGAATATGTTCCAAAAATTTGATATATAATTCCAAAATTTTGATATATAAGTTGAATCAACAAAATAACAATTTTTGAATGATTTAATAAATAATAAACAATGTTTTATTTTACTTAATTTATTAACAATTATTGTCTTACCATTGTACACCTCATTTTTTATTTAAAAAAACTTAGTAAAGTCTGGAAACCTAGTTTTTGTTACTTTGCCTGCTGTTAAAACTGATTTAAAAAAGTTAATAATATTATAATCCATAGCCAATCGTGTAGAGCTAGGTCATAAAACTAGCCAAGCAAGCATTGTGACTTGCAATACGTGTAGAGCTAGGCTGTTAAACTAGCTAAGAAAATGACTTGCAGTGTGTGTAGAGTTAGACTGTTATGCTAGCCGGCTATTTTTTATAACTAAAGTTTTATTTTTAAAAAATATGTTAAAATTGTGTGGAGAAAAATTTATTATTATTAGCTTATATTTTACTTGTTCATCTCAATAGACTACAGACAATTATTATCACTTTTGTTTTCAAAGGGAAATTTTGGGGAAAATTTCCCTTTGAAAAATAACTGAAAATTTTTTATTCTTTATGGTTAAATAATTTTTTAATTTATTTTTTTTATTTTAAAAATAACTGAATATAAAATTTTTTTATTTTATTTCAAAAGGGAATTTTTGTTTATCTTCTTAAGTTATGAAAGAATTTTTAAATGTTTTTGCTTCCCTTTACTACATAATTTTTTAATTGATTTTTTATTAGATATTATGAATTGCAAAATCATGGCATGCGTACTTTACAAAGGCTTTTTATTCCAGTGGTTTTCTGTCTTGAAGAAAGTCTTTAAATATCAATAGTACATTTATTCATGGAACCTCTTCTTTTCTACTGACGTTAATAATTATTAATTTTTACTGAAGTCAATGTTCAATGATGCAACTTTAAAGTGTTATAAAGCTCTTTTAGTTTCTTTGTTCTAATCTTTAGTTCTTTCAAAAACAAATGCAAAAATTCAGTGTTTTTGTTATACAATTTGGAATGACCACGATCTTTATCTACCAAAGACTTAATTAGGCTTATTATTGCCAAACCAAAGGTTTTATTACCTGAGTTTGACCTGTGGGAAATTTTGTTGAATGTAACTGGTTGAATTTCAAAAATGAGCTCCAATCTAATAATACTGTTTTAATAACAAGTTTTTAACAAGTTTGTTATAAATACCTTGAATATAATAAAAGTATCATTTCGAAAAATGTTTCGAAAAATCTTTTGTTAAACAGCTGCTTTTATTGTACAATAAGTTTTTTGACTCTTGGTAAGTATTTATAAAGTTTATTTATAATTAAAAGTTATTTACAAAATAATATAAAAAATTTAAACAAGTATAATAGACGACATTTGGTATTACTACAAAATGACATTTGGTATTACTACAAGACAAAATTTGGTATTACTACAATTTACTTAAATCTCAAACTTATTTTTTTATCTTTAGTGTTGTTAATAATTTTGCTCTTTGAATAAGTTTTTATAGTTAGTTTTTATTAAATAAAATGATTTCAAAATTGATCCCTTTGCAAAAATAATTTCATAAAACTTTTTTTAAAAACCTATTCTATTTTATTTGAAATGTTTTCAACTTTTTTTTGCTATCACTATGTAACCAATTCAGGGTGTCCACCCAAAAAATTAAAAAAAATTCCAGCAATAAGTACATTATTTAGATATGTTTTTCCAGTGTTTTGGCGCTAAAAAACATATCTTTTACCATTGAAAAACCACTTAAATTGCATCATTTAAGATATTTCTGCAGAGGTACTAAATACTGTCTTAAACATAGTCTTATAAACGTGAAAGTATATAATCTGAAATTTCATAAAAATATTAATATTAAAAAAAAAATAGAACTAAAAAATCTTAAAAGATCAACAAATGTTTATAGAATACTAAACAGCAAACATTTTTTTATAAAAAAAACTTTTTCCAGTTTTTTTAGCATCGACAATGCTAAAAACTATAGATTTTCCAGTTTTTCAGAATATTTTTCTAAAACAATCTTTTTCACAGTTATTCCAGTTTTTCAACACAGTACACCCTGGATACTCTGGTAATTATTATAATACATGTTTAATCCCTATCTGTAATTAGTTTTTAATTATTATAACATGGTTTTCTTTATAACAGGCTGTGGTTGGTTCCAGCGCCCTGTAGACGCTGGCTGTTATAACTGATTTTGAAAAGTATCTTCATAACAGAAGTTGTGATGTTTTTAACATTAATTGTTTTCTAAGAGAAATGTGCTTTAGCTATATTTTATTTGTTACAAAATTTAATTTGTTACATATTTAACTATATATCGTTTATATATTGTAAATTTTTTAAAGAGATATAAATTTATTTAATTAACAACAACAACAACAACAACAAGATATTTATTCTCCTTTTTACATCATACAATAATATTATAATAATAATAAATATAATAATAATATAATAATTAAAAAAATAATAATAATAATTCTAATAATTTTAATCATTATTTAATTAAATGTAAAATTAAGATGAATAAAAAATATATTCTGGATATTTTATGCTAAATATTTTCTGCATTTTTAAAATATGACCAAGATAAATGCTAAGTTATCTATAATTATAATAATTTATAATAACAATAATTATTATTATTCTTTTAAGGTCTTATAATAAATATAAATATAAAAACAAATCATCAGGTTAACGAAGTACATTTTAGATTAAATATCTGTCATCAAATCAAAAATCAGATTTTATATTTGGTACAATGTGCATATTGCTTAAATTTTAATAATTATTTTCTATCGGTTTTAAAATTACGTAACATATTTTTAGGAGCTTTAGTAACTATTATTTCAACTTTATTTTTTATCTGTAATACATGAATCAACTGATGTTTAAACAAACAAATTAAAACATACAAGTTTTGACTTTTAACATTTTTGCAGTTGAAAATTAATTGGTTTTTTATAGTTTTTTTGATGTGATAAATTAACTCTTTCACTAAAACACAATCTTTTGTTTTTTAATGAAAATTTGTTTACAATTTATAATAAACTGAGAATTTGAAGACCAGAAATATTTCCAGATATCAAAATTTGGGATCACTTAATTCACACCTTGAAATTATATTTATATATCATGTTATACAGCTTTAGGAACATGGTCGGCATTCAGCAATGCCAACCTAGAAGTGTTTGAGGTTGTCAAAAAATTACTAATCTTGTTTCTATATTTTATGGTAAAATCTTTGTATCAATTTTTTTTTTCCCAACCTCTAACAGATTAAGGTCAGCAAATTATTGCCGACCTCATTTTACCAAGGGCTGCATTAAATCTTCTAAAATTCTTTTTAAATCATTTAAAAATTATGAATAATGAAATGTTTGTTAATTTGAGACTATAAAAATATCACTTTTCAAATAAGAAATAACATTAAAAAGTTGTTAATTAGAAATAATGCAAATGAGAAAATGTATTAAATACCTTTCAATTATGTGAGCTATCAGAGCACTATCAATGCATGCATCTGATAAATATTGCAGGATATCTGTATCGAAACAACTTTGGACATTGTGTAAGGAGCATTTAATTGACTATAAAAAACAAATCAGATGCAGAATATGCAAAAATAGATACACATTTTTTTTTAATATTTTGACAACTTTTGAGATCTGATTACTTTCAAAATATTTGACAAATTTCTAATATTACTTAAAAAAAATGTTCAGAAAAAAAAAAGTTCAAAAATATACTTCAACAGAATAGTAAGCTAAACATTTATTTTTTCATTTTGCAACTGCTTTTTACCATTACAGTTTACTGCATCAACTTTTTGTTTGCATATAGGGTGTATAAGATATTTAGCGTAAACAAGTTGTACAAGGCTACATGTATATTTGGTTAGTCCTTAAAGGCTGCATATACATGTAGTCTTTAAAGATTGACCAAAAATCCTCGATAGGTCATATTACTGGAATACAAACCAGAATATCAAATTTTGTATTATAATAGATACTTTTTAAGTCACGTCAAAATACATAATTGCCATCACTGTAATGTTCTTTAACAAAAAGAACCATATGATGATGTAATCACTTTTATACATTATTTAGTTGCATTTATATTTTATGAAGAAACTAAAAAAACTATATCCTCTGGTTAATAAGTAAATATAAAATGACTGTATAATGTATTTACCATTTTCGTCAGTCAAAAATCTTCATTATTTCATAATATTATTTCTCCATTCATTATATCTTTATTATCCAAACAAAGAATAAAAAAACTTTAAAAATAAATAATTAGCCCTGCAGAACATTTTGAAAATAAAATATTTTTAATTTCCTATTTTGCATGATATAGAAAATAGCTTAAAATTTATTGGTTGTGATAACACATATATAAATACAGATTATAATGGAGATATAATCCATTGATTAGAAGTTATAATGGAGATATTACCCATTGTTTAGAAGTTAAATTAGAAAGAAAATTAGAACGACTAATAATGCTTGGCACATTACTGAAACAAAATTACAGTTTCTGGACAATATCAGCAGGTCTTGGCTTGAATTGAATTTCATGTCAAAATAGTAATGCAGGGTTGCCACTCAAATTTGCAAATGAAATTCTATGACTTTTCCATGACTCTTCATAAACTTTTATGATAAACCACTAACCAGTAAATTATTCAGTACTTGCCATGCACTAACCATTTGCAACTTGGTCATTGTAAAACATGCGAACCAAAAACTAACTAGTAGAAAGTTCTGAAATGATGTCTGAAAAATTTTTTTTTTCTTTTACTTTTCTGATAATATTTAACTTAAACTGCAAAAATATCTTTTTCAAAGACATACTAGTACCTTTCTTTGCATCTTAAAAATACCACAAGCAAAAAAAAACTAAAGATTAATTTCAAAAGTTCCATGAATTTTCCATGACTTTCAATGAAAATTTAGGAATTCCATGACTTTTTTTATGACCAAATAAAATTCCATGACATTTCCATGATTTCCATGACCAGTGGCCACCCTGTATATATGATGTGCACGCACACACACACACATACATATATATATATAAACACACATAGAAATAATGTGTTTATGTGTGACTTACTGTTTATACACATGATATTCTAATTTTTAATCATAAAAAAATTATATATACTTTATGTATGACAAAAGAAACTTCAAGTTGTTTCATGTTTCTGACTATTAATGTAGTGGGGTTACTTTGATTCAAAGTTTGAATGTTATTCAAAGTTACAAACTTTTTTAGATATAACATACTTAATAAATTTATAAACAAAAAATATGCAATTTAGACAACAGGCAGCTACACTAGCTGAGGCAGTGTACAAAGTATTCCACGCTGTAATGAGAGCAATAGTAATAAATAATTTCAGAAAATCTTACTAGGTAATTGGTTTGTCAAAAACATCAATTTTCGGCAAACGAAAATCCTAGTCCATTTAAAGCAGGCCAACAGTTACATCTTTGCTTTTAGTATGGGCATGCAAGCATAGATTAGAGGGAGTTGACTAGATTTAGTTGTTAAGTTTTTTGTATCAGTTTACTACCCTATATTGGTTATATATTTGCTTCCAAAAACAAATAAAGCAAAATATACTTAAAAAAACCAACGACATAATAAAAAAGTAAAATTAAACCAATGGAAAAAGATTGCTGAAATTATTAAATCTTTTGAAAAATTAAAAAGCAATACTGTACTTTCATCCAACTCAGCATCATTAAGTATAACTCAGCATCATTAAGTATAACTCAGCATCATTAAGTATAACTCAGCATCATTAAGTATAACTCAGCATCATTAAGTATAACTCAGCATCATTAAGTATAACTCAGCATCATTAAGTATAACTCAGCACCATTAAGTATAACTCAGCATCATTAAGTATAACTCAGCATCATTAAGTATAACTCAGCATCATTAAGTATAACTCAGCATCATTAAGTATAACTCAGCATCATTAAGTATAACTCAGCATCATTAAGTATAACTCAGCATCATTAAGTATAACTCATTACAAATGGGTTTAACAATGCTTTAATATTTGTAAAACAACATACAACATTCAGCAATGAAAAAATGAGTTTGAATTATTTGTTGTATCTAAACATTTAATTTATGATTTTTTATTAACTAACAATTTTTTAGTATCTATTTAGACCATCCTCATGCTACAATGCATTAAAAACCATTTTTACATTTTCTACTACACATTTTTTTTTAAATTTTTTTAATTAATTTAAAATTTTATGTTTTTGTAAATTTTATAAACAAAAAGAAATTTTTAAAAAAAATTACTTGGAATGGCAAAACCAAAAATCTTTCAGGTAAGTTTTTAACTTCAGTTGTTGCTATAGTGACTTTGTTGCCATAATCAAGTAACAATACTTCACATTCATTACCCACAATTGTAAGTACCTCTACGCGTTTCCAAGTACTACCAGAATATGCAGCATAAAACTTACCAACTTGTAAACTTAAAACATGACTATCTGTTATGTTTTGAAAAAAATCAAAAATTTCATTTTCTAATTGTCCTAGTTTTTCACTGTATTCAGGACCTATCATGGAAACTGAAACGCTGTTCGAGCTAAAAACACTATTTACAGTTACATCAATGTAGTCTTCATTTTCAGGCACCTCAACCCATTTTGCTGGAAAACATAAAACAATAACAAGTATGTTATACCTCAACATAAATAACAACAAAAAATATACAATATAAAAGCTGCTTATTAGAAACTTATCAAAATTTGAAAAGTGCAAAAAGTTTACCTTGGATACTGCTTGGAGTTATTGATGGTTTTTGAGTGCTACAGAATTGAAAGTGACATTTAATGCATTAGTTAGAACAATTTAGTGCATAAATTAGAAAAACCCAAAATCACAAATAAAAAAACTACCATAAATCAAAATCATAAGGAACAGTAATTTTAATAACTTAAATTTACAAAAAATTTTAAACTACAAAACTCTGTTTAACTATTTTCTCCTAATAACAGGATTTTTACTTATAACATTATTTAAAACATAAATAAAGTTAAACCTTAAACTCTTGTGCATAGCAGAATCTTTACTAGAACTATCCAAACTTAACAATAGATTATTGAAGTCTTTGTCAAATAGAGAAACTGAATAAACAGACCCTTTAAAAGGAATAATAAAAACTATTGTTAAAATTAAACTGTGTTAGTTATACAAACAAATTTTAAACAAAGTTTAATTCACTTTTATTAATTATAAAAAGTTGTGCAAGTTTTATTAAAAATTATATAAAGTTTAGTAAATATAAATATATAAATAAATTATATAAATATAAATTGATTTTATATTATTTAAATAACATGCAAAACGTGTATGTTATTGTTTTATGTTAAAGTATGTTTTTTTATGAATGTAAATCTTTAAAAACAAATTGTATGATTGATTTTATAAATGCAAGACTTAGATCTGATTGATTTTATAAAGACAAGACTCAGCAACAACTGCATTTTTAATGAAATTTTATTAATAATCATTTGCGAAATAAAGATAAAGAAACTTACAGGTCACTGAACACAAATATATATATAAATACATAGTGAATTACAAGTAGATGAACATCATGCTAGAGGTTCGAACAAAACAAAAATATACAAATATATAAAGTGACTAATGGATGAACAAGCACCACGCCAAAGGTCCATACAGAACACAAACACACAGATAATTGACTTACAAATTAATAATTAAAAGCCTACTCTCTAAACATCATCAGTGTGAAGCAGTTTCACTTCCTCTTCATAAATTATATTTATCTTTTAGTTTAACCATAAAAGTTTGTAGGGTTTCCAATCGGTTTTAACCGATAACCAAAAAACTACAGTTTTTTGTCAAAACTAATATAAATGAAAACCGTTGTATATGTCTTTTGAATGGTCACATCACATATCCATCTAATCATCTTTTCTTTTGGCAAATACTTCACCATATAAATACTAAAGTTTATATAAATATAAAAGGATATTAAATGCCAGCATCTAAATAAATAGCAAACATTTATGTTTATATCCATATTATATATGGATAATCTTGGCAGCTTTTATTCCTTCTATTTTATTTTAAGTCAAGCCTCATTCTACTACACATTTTTCACCATTTTGAGCAAATGCTTTATTAAACTGTAATCATTTTTTTTATCTTTTTTACAAGAACATCTCTCTCAGGAACAAATGTCCTTTTATTATTGCAAGAAACTGATGTAAAAAGGCCCTGTCTGATGTTAAGCTCTGCTATTTTCAGTTTACTAAATCTTGTACCTAATCTCAAATGTTAGGCTCTAGAGACTTTTGGTTAGTCTTCAACAGTGTCATTAACTAAAGTAAGTCTAACATTTAATCTCTAATCTATGAGCCTTTCATCTAAGGTGGCTCTATTTGTGAACGACTCAACTTTATACTCTTGTCTTGACAAAAAGTCTTTACTTTTTAATTGCTTAGAACAAACAGCCAATTTTTTAATCTGATCTCTCTTCTGTAATAGCCTAAGGCTTGCAGTGACTAATGGATTTTAAGTCTGGACATCAAATCCAAAATTTTTGTTAGACAACAAAACTCAGATTTTTATATATTTAATATTTTTTAAATTAAATTAAAAATTGCATTTACATTTGCTTTGTTTTCTTTTAGCGCATTTTTCAAACGCGCTAATAATCGAAACTTGCAAAGAGCCGTGGTCAAGTTGTTAAAACAAAGAACTATATGCGTGGTCATATAAAGCGTCCGATTGCACGCCTCTTACGAGAAGGCATATATATATGTATATATTTTTATATACATATATATAAACATATATATATACATATATATATACATATATATATATATATATATATACATATATATATACATATATATATATATATATATATATATATATATATATATATATATATATATATATATATATATATATATATATATATATATATATATATATATATGTATATATTTTTATATACATATATATATATATATATATATATATATATATATATATATATATATATATATATATATATATATATATATATAATTTATATATATATATATATATATATATATATATATATATATATATATATATATATATATATATATATATATATATATATATATATATAATGATGCTGTTTTATGCATATATATACTATCAAGAAAGTGTTCAATGAACTAAGTCAGAGCTATAATATAGCAGAAAATAAAATTATGTGATTTTCACAACTTTAAGTTTCATGCTGTTGCATTCATCAGGTGAAATACAAATATAGTTTTTTGATTAAAAAATTATATACAATTGAAACTAAACAGAAAAAACCTATACAGAAAAAAACTATTGTTATAACCGTGTGTATCTAATCTTCAGGTTTGTGGTTGCTTAAAAGAAAATTATTTTCGTGACAACATATGGAAATTAACTTAATTGTTTTTTTATTAAGTAGCTCTTCAGCATTTTTATAAAGTAAAATTATTAGTTTTTCATATAAACAAAGTAAATATTTTTTTGTTGTACTGTTGTAAGCAGGGGCTTTTTTAAGTTAATTCTGGTGTTTCTTTCAGTTTCTCCTTAGTTTCCCTAGTTTATATTTTGAGAGAGTGGTTGTATTTGAAATTTTTTTATTTGTAAATGATTGCTTGTGGTTTGCATATCTTTTTTTTCCACACGCCCTCTGATAAACCAATGTATGCTTTGCTGGGTGTGTTTGGGGAAGATGTTATACATTTGTTATACACTAAAACTAATATTTATTATTACATTGATTTTAAATTAAATATACTATTTTCTAAATTGATTAACTACAATAATTTTGTTTTTTAAAACTATATGGATACAAGAATGTTGATACGGATGTATATAAACTTCAAACTTTTTGATATTTTTGAAATCTAACATAAAAAAAAACTTCAACTCTCAAAATTTCCATTCTTGAACAAATCATTTAAAATGAATGTTTAATAAAAGTCCATTTGCCCTGAAATGTCTGCAAGATATAAATGATGAAAAGCTATATATTTAGACATGGAAAATTACTTCATTTTATAAAAAAAAAAAAAACTTTTATAATTTTTTAAGTAATTTTTATAAAAAATACATTTAAAATATATTAATAGGTTTTCAGCCCTCAGAACTAGAAAAAATAAGATTGGCAATAATTTTTCAACCTTTTAAAAAAAAAAGATTGGCAATAATTGTCAAACTATTTTTGGTCAGCACAAAATTTTTAACACAAAATGTTTACCCCCATCAACATAAAAATGAGGTCAGCAAAAAATCGCCAACTTCAGACTCAACATTGCCAAACCCTGACCCTAATTCCGAAGGCTGTATTTTGATAGAGATCTATCAAAAATATATTTATATTCATACCATCTTTTGATTCTATCTTCATTTTTAGTTTTGTGTCTTTGGTAAGTCTACGAAATATGTTAATATTTTCTTCCGACACAAACCTGAGCTTCTGAATATAAATTACATTGTTGTATTAATTCGATTGGTAACTGCAGAAAAGCTGATAAAGAGTTTTAGTTAAAATAAAGTTTGAAAAAAATGCTTGTTATAAAACCTCATTAATTTTATGGAGAGTACAATGAACTGCTTGCATTGGAAAAGATTTAAACTCATCATTCAGCTCTCTGAGATCTCCTTCAATAACCTCTTCATCATTACCGTAGTCAACATAAAAAACATGACAAATGTGTAGTGGGGAACGATGCTTCTAAAATTAAAAAAAAAATTGAAACTAATGGGGCAATGGTGCAATCTTGATGGTGAGATGATTATATTTTTAAAAAAATTCATCTAAAAAGCATTTTCATCTAAAAAGCAATTCCATCTTAAAGACTCTTACTTGTTCTCTTAAGCTGAGAACTTTTGCACGAAACCACATTTTATATTCTGTTGAAAATACAGCATAATATTTACCAACATAAGCTTTTGCAAACAGTAAATGAGTTTTCTGAAAAAATAAACAAAAATAATTTTAAGTAATTTTGAAAACAACTTAAGAATTATAAATCCATTACTTGGAAAAATGACACTCTTTAAAAAAAAACATTATAACTTTACTTACTGTATAATAAACCTGCATTGAACTGTCAAACTCTCCTATTGTTGAATCGGCTAAATGAATGTAAAAGCAATCCAAACTTGATACATGACTAATATACACATCGACAAATTCCCTGAAAAAATAAAGTTTCCATAAAGTCTATTTCTTCTTATTATAATATGAAACTAGGATCACATAGTTAATTGTGATATTAACTTTTTGTAAATAAAATTTGATTTGTATTCATCAGCAGACATATTAGAGTTTACTTGATGAGGGGAGAAAAGAGGAGGGGGAAAGCAATCAACCGAATTAAATTTTACCTTATTACAGAACTAAACACTAAATAATAAAATTACCATTACTGTTAGCCAATATAGGGTTTAAACTTCTTATAGAGGATTTAAAATTATTAAAAATACATAAATGTGTAACAATTATTTAGATATATTAATGTATATTAATGTATTAATTAGATCATTTATACATTATTTACATTACATTATTTTAACACAAAACTAAACAATCAGTAAATAAAATTTATAGCAATATTCACAAAAAATTAAAATTTTAAAAGTCAAACTTCAATATTCGTTAATAAGAATATAATAGAAAAAGATATTGAACTTTATTCTATATTTGATATATAAATTTTTTGATAAAGTTTTTACAAACTACATTTTGACTCATTACTGAACTCCTGGATATCATAATAAAAGATAAGTGTTAGAAAATTAGTGACACAAGTTCATTTATTATAAATTTTGTATAAATTAAATTTTTGCAATAGTCCAAATAAATGGTTTTCAATTAAAAAATCACAATATCATCAATACAGTAGTGGTTTGGTGGTAGTGCGGTCACTTCACAGCATGAAAGAACTCACAGCATGAGTTCATTTCTAACTATGTCACTGATAGCACTGTGTTTAACTTGCTTCTCCACGCAGCAGCATGGTTCATCCAGGTTTATTTTTTAAAATCATTGGGTTGCTTCACTTTATACAATAATGACTCAATTTATTTCTTTTGAAAAAAAAATCAGATAGCTTTTTGTCATTTAAAAATAACTTCAAATTTTAAACTGTATGCCAATGGGTAGATAAACCAATTTTAAATGTGAGCATATGGCACAGTAAAGTAAAAATAATATATATAGGTATATACAGGTTGAACAGAAATATAATACAGTGTAAATATAGTGGTATATACAGGTTGAACAGAAATATAATACAATAGTGGTATATACAGAAACAGATAAAATCTTAGACTTAAATACAAAAAAACTGTTGAAACATCAATTGTTTATTTTCTTTTAAAAAAATAAACATAAAACAAAAAAAGCTCATGAGATAATCATTGTTAAAAAAAGGCATTAAAACTAACATTTTGGCAAGAATGTTTAATCTATCATTCATGATTCGACATTAACAACAAAATCCAAAGAAAGACTTATTTAGATTATAAGAACAGCAGTTAGAAATTATTTGTAGTGATAAAGTTAACTTTCATTTTTGTAATCATAACGAAAGAATATACATCATTTGATTAGCTATTTAGAAATGTTTAGAATATTTTTTGAAACCATGTCAACAACAGTGGTAAAGGCTTGTTTGCCATTTGAAAACGTTTTTCAAACACAAAATTAATTTATCATATCAACTGAGCACTTCAAACAACTTCTGAATGTTGACAGTATCTTGTAAGATGTGTTTAATTTAAATCAACAAAACTTTTGTAATAACTGAATGACATTTATATATATATATATATATATATATATATATATATATATATATATATATATATATATATATATATATATATATATATATATATATATATATATATATATATATATATATATATATATATATATATATATATATATATAATAACATAATGCAATTTTTCATAAAAAATACTTATTTTTCAACATAAAAAATAAAAAGGCAATTACCCAGAAATTTCCAGTAAAACAAGTTCATTTATTACACTTGAAGCTTGAGCCATAAAAGAAAGAAAAAATACAATAAGATTCAATTTTTCTTCATTCTCACCAAAAATAAATATTAATAAACAAAATATTAAATTAAAAAAAATGAAACTAAATCTTGAATATCTAAATGATTTGAAAAACTATTTTAATACTATAAATTCAATTTTTTAATAATTTCAATACTCAGTTTCAATAATTAAAAAAAACTTAGTAACAATCTCAATATTAATATGTAAATAATTCAATTTTTAGTTATTATTTGTTTTGTTTTTTTCTTGATTGCTCTAATTTGGGGTACAACGTAATTATTATCAACATTATCTTATTTATTTAAGAGTGAAAATAAAAGATTTAATGTGAGGTTTGCTTTTTGATCTGTTTTCTAACATTAAAACACTTTTTTTTCATGATGCTTTGATTTTTGACTGACATTTAACTATGCGAATTATAATAAAAAAAAAAAAATGCTTGATTTTAATTGCATTTTTTACTTCTGCATGTAACTAAGGTTGATTCTTGTCTAAGAATATACAAGTAAAAAGATTTGATATAAATTTGTGATAGTAACTAATAAAAATCACACACAGATTTACTATAAAACAATTTATTATAGTTGACTTAATTCAAGTAATTATTTATAGTAATTATTTATAGAAATTTCAAGTAATTATTTAAATTAACTATTTTTAGAAAACTCATCTCTTGTGAATATTATATTGTCACTAAAACTTGTAGAATATTGCATGTCATAGAATTATTGCACCTTCTCTTTTTATAGTTACCTGATTGCAGGTAATTACCTGAGAGCAAATTGATGCGATTTTATATTGTAAACTAAAAACAGGTTAGGAGTGTTGACTAAGTGTGTCAGAACCAGTTTGTTTGAATGTTGGAATAATCTAGTAGTATAAAAAGAAAATCTAGTGGTATAAAGAACAATCATTTAAAACTTCAATAAAGTTTTCATTGTAATGAACTATTAAAGTATCAACTGGTCATTATGTTAGAAAAATTGAAATTTCATACTACTATAAAAGTAACACGCATGCCATAAAATCTCTTGGTTTACCGCTTGGCCAGATGGAACAATGTAAATAGATGTGACCCCTCGAGGGGAGATTGTCATCCATACAAGTAATTTTTTTTCAAATTTTGTAACATAATAATATTTAACATCTGGTGTCAATTTTTGATCATTTGAATAGTATGTTTATTACCAGCCAGTGTGCTATTCGACAAAGTATGACTCATTGTCAATAAAATATTCATGGTTGCGATATTTTGAATAAAATCAACCACATTTTCGATGACCCCAAAGCCTCTGTTCAGGAGTTCTGCTTGATCTTTTTTTTCTTGTATAACAAAGAATAGGCTTTTTAAAGCATTTTAAGATTCGTCTGATGGTGTTTTTGCTACAACCAAGTCTTCCAGAAGTCTTTGAAAGTGACACACCTCCTTGATGGTTAAACATTTTCCTTAATTTGATGCGTTTGTTTTGTGTATTAAGAGTAGGCCTTCTTCCACTTCCAGCTTTGCGACCCAATGGTTTACTTTGATCTTAACTGTTCATATATCTATAAATTGTAGCTTTTGAGTAGCCCTTCATCTTGAAATGGTTCCAAACAACGTGTTTTACATCTTCATGTCTTTTTATATAAAAATTATACACACAACTTTTTAGGGCTTGTTAATTTGGCATTTTAAATTGTTATCAAAACAAAAAATAATCAGAAAATTTATATGCTAATTGAAAGAGGAAAGATGGAGCTTTCATTTGATACCAAAAACTAATTATTTTATCAAGCTTACTAATTAAATATCACTAATTCAAGTTAGTCTTAAATTTTATGGAGCAGGTGTTATGTCAATTGAATTGGTGAGAAGAAGAACAGTACTAGTCCATTTTTTGTTATTTGCACTTTTTTTAATAATCTCATTTAACTTATGTCAATTTCTCTAAGAACTACAAAAATAATACTAGTCCATCTTTCTTTCATTATTTTTTACCATAAAGTAGATTGAAACTAGTCGAAGAACAATACTTGAACTGGACTAAAACACACTTTCTACTCAATTCTTATAATGCGTCGAACCAAATTTAATAAATTAAATCACCAGAATGCGCCCAAGTCTATAAAATGTCAGTTAATACAAAAGTTAAGTTGACATATGCTCAGAATGTGAGAAATTGGGATCAAGAATACACAACAAAAACTTAGAGGACAATGCTAATAGAGTGGTGGCAGCACAGCTCATGGTCCACAAAAGACGTACTAATAAATTTTATCATAAGATTAGAGCCATAACAAATCTTTGTGATACAAATCCAAACATAAAACTTCTTAACAAATGTTTTTATATTAGCGTAACGATTTTAAATAAAGTAACAATTTACTAAAAAAAAGTTTTGTTTTTTAAATATAATTAATAGTTGTATATATTTTTTTAATTTAAAACATAAATTTTTTAAGTGTTCATTTCTAAAATAAATCTAATTAAAAAATAAAAAATTGTTTTGTTTTTATAAACGATGACATTCTACGACTACAAAGTCTCTTTAACGAATTTAAATATAAGAATGATTAAAGCTAATGCATTTAAAAATCTAAACAAAATTTCGTTAAAAAAAAAAAGTTTTAAAAAATCGTTACAATTTAATAAGTTTGATCTTAAATGCTTTTATATTATTGAAATGCTTTTAATGAAGTAAAAAAAACACTTCTAATTAATTTAAAAAAAAGTATTAATAAAATATTCTTTTATTTTATTTATATAACTATGTATTTTTTATGAGAAATATTTAACTTTTGAACATATTAAATAAATAAAAAATATATATAAATGTTGAAACAAAGATTGAAAAGGTTTTTTAATGTGTAAATTAAATAGACTAAGCATTTTAGTTTGATAAGTTTTGTTTTACTTGCGTTATATACATATATTTATTTTTTTGTGTTTTTGCTTTAACTAAGTATTTTTTTTTATTTTCTCTTTCGTTAATATTTATTATTTTTTTAAATTTTTTTTTTCAGATAAGTTTAGGTAAGTTTTTGTAGCGCGTTTTTAAATTTTAAAAATATGCTGTGGTCAAATCGTTAAATCATTTTTTTTTTGCGTGGTCATATAAAGACATGAAATCGCACGTCTTCCTGTGAAAGCTTGCAAAGGGCAGGCCCAAATGAAGTATGTACCTTTGTACAGAACTATACCTTCACAAAAATTCCAGATTCTGTTCAAGTACTTTATTAGGAACTTTTATAAATACACTTAAACAACTTTATAAAAATGCACTTTATAAAAAGTTTAGCATTATGAAAAATATTACAAATAGTCCGTAAAAACGCGAGTTGATATTTTTTAACCAATAAAAAGTATTTATTGGTTGATTTTTAACAAAACACGTGTTTTTACAAACCATTCTTAAATTAATGCATGTTTTTACGGACCATTAGTAATGTTTTTCATAATGCTAAACTTTTGATGCAGTATGTTTTTATAAAGCTGTTTAAGTTCCTTAATAAATTTTAAATAATATTAGAATATCTACTCTATTTTCTAGATGCTTTTCTACTTCAATTAAAATTTGGAATTACTTAAGCTGTTTGAATAAAGAATAAATTATAAAAATTAAAAGTATGTTATAAAAGTAATAACACTATTATAATGTTATTTCTTTTATAATACAGTTAGTTACTAGAGTGTTATTACTTTTGTAGTCGTAAGTTTATTATTTTTTATAAATTTTTCACTAACAAATTTAAATTGATTTGCCCCTTGAAAATAAAGAACACGGTTTTACATAAACTAATATTTTGAAGAGCAGATATTTTTCTGGATTTTTCATTTCGTGATAGCTTAATTCAACCCTTGCCTGTATTTGTGCAATGACTCCATTTATTGTATGTTTAAATTAAATTAAATACTAAAACGAAAATACATATAATTTTTATGCTTCTGTTGCATTTTGTTGCTTTTATAACATGAGGCTACTAAAAATTTGCACAAAATTTGAACATTCGAAACTCGTGAACAAATTCAAATATTTCTGCAGTTTGAAGTTAAATATATTCACTTGACATTTTTATTACATCTGATACTGATTTTGGCAATTAAAATTATATAAATAAAATAGATCGAATTAAAGAAAACTACAAACAATAGCTTATTGGAAACTTCTATTTAGATAACATAGAAAAAGAGAAAACATTTAGAGTGCATCATTTTATGCAATTTAAAGTTGCAAGGCAAACAATTTATAATATTATTAAAAGAGTTGAGGACAATATAGACCTTAAAAGAAAGTCAGGAAGCGGCAGAAAACCATACAAAATGGACATAAAAATTACTTCACTTATTAACAAGGCTGAAAATAAAGTTGGAATCTCCCAGAAAAAACCTGCATTAAAATATGGAATTCATAGAAGTTATGTTTATAAAATTTTTAACATGCATGGACTTTAATATTTTAAAAGAGAAAGCACCAGAAAGCCTAAAATTCACATAATTAAACAAAAATAACAACTGTTAAAACTTTCAAAAACTTTTATCTGACCGTCAAATGAGTTTGAAATTATCATAAATGATGAGTCCTATTTTATATTGAGCAGCCAAAACACACCAGGAAATTTTAGGTAATGTATAATTTTTTATTAAACAAAATTTTTAAATAAATTTTACCTGTTGCTGCAGTGGACACAGATGTTTTTAAAGAAGATGAAGATTTCTTTGCAGTAAATATTGATGTTGTTGCAGTAAATGCAGATGATTTATCCTTTAAATATATGTTTCGTTTACTTTCCGAAGAGGTGTTAGATATATTGACAACTAAATTTTCAGACTCTGAAACTTTTTCACTTTCCTGAAAATAGATATTGTTAGTTTATTAATTTTTTTTTTTCTTTATAACAGTTATATAATGCATTTATATCACTTATAAGTGAATACAATGGAAAATGATGTATAATGAATACAATGAGATAATGAATACAATGAAATAATGAAAATGCTTATTATAAATGAATACATCTAATATCCAAAATGCTTCTTATAGGCTTTCTTTGCAATATAATGGTACAGAGATTGAAACCCATCTCACTCTTGGTATTCAATAAAAATATGCGTGTTGGCAACACACTAAGCAAACATTGCATGGGTGATAGCATAGTTATTAACAAATAGATACATATCTTATATGCTCTATATACATCAAAATCATGTATAAATAATATGCATATGTAATAAATGCAATCATTATTATCTTAGGTTGGTTAGGTTATGGCTACAGTATCACTTGCTATATGCTAAACTTTCTACATACTACAGCATCAATTGCTACATACTACATACATACCACAGCATTACTTTCTGAACACCCACAAGTGCAACTTTTAATGTCATGTCTGAACAAATAACTAATGCATGTTTGAAGATGCTTAAGACAACCGCTCATGATATCATTCAGTGCATTAAGTCAATAGATGACATCAATCCAGGTAAATCCTGTGAAAGACTAAAATTTAAGATTCCAAAAACCAACATAACACGCCATTTGACTGTGATTGACAAACAGATTTCAAGCAAATTCCTAATCAGCTGTCTCAAGCAAATTTCTACTCAACTGTCTCCTAATGTTAGTACTTGCACAGTTTAAATACAAGGTGTATTTGAACTGTGCAAGCAAAAGAAATTTAACCTTTTTTTTGTATTGTGCTGCATTGAAACAACACTTTTTCTCAAAAAATTGTTTGTGATCATACCAAATTTTGAAAAGAACACAGATTAGACTGTTGCTGACGTGTGAAAATGTGATGACATGTCAATATTCAATAGTCAATATTCACCTTCATTAAACTCATACCACTATAATCCTAGATACAAAGCATCTTCTGTTAAACAATGTCCAGCAATTGGACAATCTTGTTTCTCTTAGCTGTGGCCTTGTACCTCAAGGTTTATGTTTCAGAGTTAAAGAGTTATAGAGGGTTGTAGGCCACAATAAAGTAGCCTCCTTTAACTGAAGTGGCCTTTTTGGTCTTGGGAATGTGAATAACAATAAAATAAATTATTATGATTTAAGGTGTAACAATTGCCAACAGTGATGTTATTTATTTTTAAAAAAATTTTCCACAAACTATTTAACAACTTTAAGGAACAACATATTTGAATTAGAAATTTTGAAATTTTCATGCATGACAGGACAACATGTTACCACGCAAAAATTAAAAATGCTATCAGGCAAGGAAATACAACTAATGTTTTTACTCCAAAACCAAGCAATTTACCTGATTTAAACCCTGTAAGATAAAATTAAAAACAGAAATTTTGAATAAACTGCATATAATTAGAGATCTTGGAGAAACAGAATATAATGAAAAAATTAAAATACTCACATTTTTTTTTAAGTACAATATCTCTCGATTTGGGGCTGGACTGAAAAAAGATAAAACATACAAAACGTTTGTTCACATTAGCTTAGCAAAAAAAAATTTGTTTACATACTAAGAAAATATAATCAAATATGCTAGTTAACATTTTTGTTAAATATTGTCATGTCATAAGTCTGAATTATATTTTCATACCAAGTCTGAATTATATTGAAAACATAAGTTATTTAAGTTAATGGTTTTTTCATTTCTGCACGTTTTTTTATAATTTATTGTTGAACTAAATGAATGAAATAATTTTTTTAAACCACTAATAGATTAAATAAATTTTTTGTCAAATTTAAATAAATAAAAATGCTTGAAAATTTTAAACAAATTCTATAACATTTAGGGGTTACTGCATGAAAAATATTGTTACAGATTGCATTACTATGATTATATTCAGAGAAAAAGAACATGAACAGCTCAAAATAGTCAAATTTGTTTATTTTAATTTTTTTCTTTTTCTTTTTTAGCAAATTTTATAACTAATTTAATTAAACCAAAGCAGCAAGCAACAGCTATTTAAGTTGGGAGTTACTAGATATTAAAAAATTATTAGAGAACAAGAAAACAATTGATAAAAAAATTTAAAAAACTGTAAACTATTTGAGTCCGCAAAACATGAAGATGGAAGCAAGTTTTAAAGCATTGATATGCAAGGAAAAAAAACTATATGAATAATAGTTTTTAGAGCATAAAGGTATAAATAAAGTAAAATGATGCAACTTTGCTGAATGATTAATCATACCAGAATGAAATTTGGTATATGGAACTAGAGATATTAGCATGTTTGAGAAGTGACCATGACAGTATTTGTAGAAAAGAAAGAGATAAATTTTTACAACAATGGGACAATTAATAAAACTTGGTAGATAAAGAGGGTCTGACTAAATTTGCAACATGCTTTTAGATCTTTGAGAGAAAAGGCATCATTAAAAGGAAAAGCTTAAATATGACAACATTATTTCATACAGGGACAAATAAGAGAATTGTAGAGATAGAGAATGGAATCAAGAGTAAAAAAATGGAGAGCGCAATAAAGAGATGCAACCATATGAAATGTTAACTTTGAAATGAACTGTATTTATGGTTTTTATGAGAGGTCAGTAGTGAATGATAAACCAAAAAGATATAATTAACCAATATATATAATAGATATAAAAGCCAAAAAGATATATTCTTGTTAACAATAATATGGACATGACATTTGAAACCGGGATATTTATGACAGATATTAACGTTCACTTTCCGACATTTATAAAAGTAAAAAATATAAAAATGACATCTGATTGTGAGCCAAATACAATACATTTGAAAAAACGCAATCTCAAAACAAGTAATACTAATAAATTAACAAATAGACTAAAACAAGAAACGTGGATCAATGTATATAGATGTCAGGACACTAATGAAGCTTGCAATACTTTTTTAAGTAAATTTATAGAACACTTTAATGAAACCTGTCCACAAGAGGTCATACAAATTAAAACAAAATTAATTGCTAAACTGTGGATGGATAAATCGCTGTTAGAATGCTCAAAAAAGAAGCAAAAACTTTATAATAAATTTCTAAAAAATAAAAACGATAATAATGAAAAAAATTACAAAAATTAATAAATATTTTTACCAAAATCTTATTACAAATGCTAAAAAAAATACTACAGTAATCGAATTATCAACTGTAAATTTGATACTAAAAAAACGTGGTTTGTCATTAATGACATATTAGGAAGTATAAAAAGCTCCCCTTCTTTATCTAAAAGAATTAATATAAACAAAACTGATATTTTCTGTCAAAAACAAATCTTAGAATAATTTAATAACTATTTTATAAACATTGGTCCAAATCTTGTTAATAAAATAATTCCAACATCTGATTCATTTCAAAAATACTTACAACCTAATAATGTTGTCATGCTTGATAATAAATTTACCTATAGAGAATTTGAAGAAGCATTTTCTTCTTTAAAAAAAATAAGGCCCCTGGTTCTGATGAAATATCTAGTGATTTAGTTATTTCAAACAAAAACAGCCTAAGCAAACCTCTGACCCATATCCTAAATCCAATATCTACTGGGATTTTTCCTGACGTACTTAAATTAGCAAAAGTAATTCCATTATACAAAAATAATGATCATTCAGAGATTACTAACTATAGACCAATATCAATACTTTCTGTATTTTTAAAACTTTTCGAATGTGTAATTTATAATAGAATCTATGATTATTTTACTAAAAACAATTTATTTTACCAATATCAGTGTGGATTTCGAAAAAATCTTTCAACTGAACACGCAATACTTAAAATAGTAAATCAAACAACTGATGGTTTTAAACATAACAAACTTACCTTAAGAGTATTTAATTACTTATCAAAAATATTTAATGCAGTGGATCATTGCATCCATTTAAATAAACTAAAGCATTATGGGACAATTAATAAAATTCATTATTAGATTAAAAGTTATCTTACGAATAGAAAGCAATATGTGAATAATCCACAATCTGGAGTATTAAATGTTTTATGTGGAATTTTTTGTAATACATCTTTGCATTTGTAATACATCAAACCGCATTCAGTCATGTTTGCTGATGATAAAAATTTGTTTATTACTAACAATGATGTCAAAAAATTATATGCAGATATGAATATTGAACTAAATAAAGTAAATAGTTGGTTTAGAGCTAACAAACATTCACTAAATGTTGAAAAAACTAACTATATAATATTTTATAAAAAAAATAAGGAGGAAAACCTTCCACTTAAGTTGCCATATCTTATCTTAAATGATTAATTAGTTGAAAGGCAAGTCTTAAAGTCTTAAGATTCTTAGGAATTTTCATTGATGAAAATTTATCCTGGGTTCCTCAAATAAAATATATCCAGTCTAAGATCACCAAAACTGTTGGTATGATGTATCGAATTTATTCATATGTCAATAAACAAAGTCTCAAACTAATATATTTTGGGCTAATTCATTGCTTCATCAACTATGCAAACATTTCATAGGCAAGTACATAACCATCAAAACTTTATAGCTTACAAAAACACGCCAGCAGGATCATTTACTCTAAAGATAAACATAAACACATGTAAAAGCTTTAATGAAAGATATGAAAATGATAGGTGTGTTCACCATTTAATCTTTATGTATCAATTTAATAACAATTTCTCTCCACCAAACTTTAATAAAAAGTTTGAAACAAATGTAAATGAAAAATATAACCTAAGGGCAAATTTAAGTAACATATATAAACTGCCTTGGAAATCTGATAATTATACGGAATATAGCATACATATAGAGGACCAAAAATATGGAATACCTATCAAAAAGGACTCAAGAGTATGGTTAAGTCGTTAAGTTCACTTAAGCATCTAACAAAAAAAGAAATTTTTAAAACTTGAAATTTTATTTTACAATACTTTTATATTTGTGCATATACTCGTCTCTAGATCATCTTTTCAGTCTTTTTTTTTTTAATTTTTTTTTTAGTTTGTTGTTTTTTTTTGGGGTTTTTTTTTTTTTTAATTTGTTTGTTTTAATTTTTAGCGCAGTAAAGAATACTATTATACTTTTGTAGTTTCTTAGTTTTTCGATTTTTAGTTTAAAATAAAAATGACTATATTTTATTAAAACTTTTTAAGGGGTTCTATGAAAAGATTGTGACAACGTATCGTCATCCTTATCTTCTTAGAGCCCCTGTCTGTTTAATTCTTATCTAATAAAGATCATTAAAAAATCCATTTCATTTTTTATTTTATATACAAAACGGTGACTGGTGTACGATTTTACATGTCTAATTGAAAAGATGTGCAATTTTACTATGGATATTTATATATTTTTTTGTATAAGTTGATTGTATTTGTTAAACAGTGAAATAAATGTAAATTAAAAAAATAAATAAATAAAGGATAAATAAAAAAAATTAATAAATAAATAAAAGTAAAAAAAATAAAACTAATTCTTAACTGCAAAAGAAGGTAGAATAGTATATGGAAACATAATATAAAATAATTATAAAAAGGCTTTAGAGGAACCATTAGAAGAATGACAATTGTAAAAGTAGCAATGCTTTTACTGTATTTACAAAATCCTCAAAATATTTAAGTTTTGAAATTATCTGAAAAGCTATTTGTCTAGAATATTTTTAAACTCAAATATGAACACCAAAAAATTCATCAAAAGATCAATTAAAATGTTTCTTAAAGATTCTGCTAAAAACCTTACAAAGCTAAAGACACTGAAAAGCTCATTATTTGAGGCAACAAATAAAAGAACTAAGTTTTGATATTTGATGCACTTAAAATATCAAAACAGAGCTCATAATTAAATAAAATCACTGTACATAAATTTAAAACCAGTTAAAACTGTTTTGTTTTTTTTGGAAATTTGGAATTCGTAAACCAGTTTTTAAAAATCCGTTTTTATATAAACAAAGAGCACAATTTAGTACATAATATAACTTAACTTCATTTAATTTAATATGGTAGTTGTGTAGTTGAATGCTCGCTTTGTTAGATAGAGAGAGAAGTAACGCACTCAATATTTTCCAGAGCAATTTTTTTATCAAACTGTGCTTTGAAGCTGAATGGTTGAGAGAGAAGTGTAACAACAATCAAGGGGGGAAAAATTAGCAACCTCCTCCACTATAATGGTCAACTTTTATAACCATTACAAAAATTAAAATCATATATATTCAAATAGAAAAAATAAATTTGGAATCTAAAAAAATCTAACCCTTTAGATTTGAAGTAAATATGTTTAAACCTCTTAAAAACTTAAAGCACAATTGAACCACTTTTTCTTTACAATTTTCAGTTAATTTAAAATCCAAATTATACTATAAACGTAAAATTTAGATTTTTAAATGGCTTACAACTTTTATAATCTTTACAAAAATTAAAATCATATATATTCAAAATCAGAATCACAACATCATTATCACAACATTTTTACTAACAATTAAGACATTATTGTTGTTTAGATTATTTACAATTAAAAAATATATTATATCAAGGCATTGCATTAACGCAAAAAAATATAATCGCAAAAAAAAAATTTTGAACACCTCCCCCCCCCCTCCCTTATCTTGTGCACGCTTGGCAGTAAAGGGGGGGGGGCGATTGTGTAAGTAGAGTGTCTTTTTAACATTACGTTCGTAATTGTTATTTTTTTAATATAACATTGCTGATATTTAAATTTTATAAAATTATTGTTATGCAAATTATGTACTGTAAATTAGTAGGTACTGTTAGATAGTATCTTAGAATATTTTTGTTATGTAAATTTTGTACTGTAAATTATTATATTAAACTCCGTTTAAAAGCTATTTGAACTCTATTTAAAAGCTATTTTAAACTTCGTTTGGCGGAGTTTAAAGTAGTATAAGTTACTGTTATAATTTACAGCTTAAGTTATAATTTTGAGTTTAAGTTGCAGTCATTTAAATTTAATCAGTTAATTATTGCTGTTTTATTGCTGTTTTATAAAGTTTGTAACATTTATAACGTAAAAAGCGTTTAAAATAAAACTGAGTTAAATAAATGTTCTAAATTAATAAATTAAAACATGATCGTCATAAAATTTTAAACTTCATACTTGCGCAAAAACATGCTTTATCTATAAACCAAACGAGTAAAAGATGCACGTATAATTAAACTTTTTATTCAAATGGTTTTTAAGTTAATGTTTTCATTCAAATTTTTCGTGCATATTGATTCGTGCATATTGATTTGCAATAAAAAGTGAGCGAAAAAAGTTTGGTTTAATAAATCGAATTATATTTCCTTAAGTTTGCTTAAGTTAGCTTAAATTATTTTTTTAGAAAAAAAATTTCTTTAAACAGAAGTAAAATAATATATATTTTTTTTATTTAAACTTTTTATAAAATAATTTTTGGTTTAATCTTTGCAATAGAATGCTTCTACTTTTAAAACTAATTTCAAAAAACAAAAAGAACACGCTTTTACAAAAAACATTTAACTACTCGAATGTTTACGATTTAAATAAAATTTTCTTCCTCATTTCTACTATGTTCGAAATATGATATTGTTACTATAGCTAGATTTATGTTTGATTTTCAGGAATGATCGTTGCTATGCCACTAGGTATTACGGACGCAACTAAATTTTATAATTATTGCAATTAAACTTTATAATTATTGAGCGTTAAAATTCTTTTAAGTTTTTCAAATTTTGTTTTTTAATTTCAAATTTCTATTACAAAATTATTCGAATAAGAGATCATTTGTTCGGATAATTTCTTTTTTTTTTTAATTCTTAAAAACAATTGCATATTAAAGTTATATATAAAATGTTTTACCTTTTTTTTATATATATTCATTTTATTTAAAGCGATATCAGCTTTAAAAAAATGAAAATATTAAAAAAAATGGTATTGCACTTTTTATTTTCTATTCGAAATTTCTTGTTAAAATAATTTATAGTTAAAAGTTTATTATGTATTAACAACATATAATGTATAAATAAAAATATTTGTATGGCTAACTTTTGAGAGTCTTTGAGTATATTAAATAAATTTAATAGTTGAGTAATAAAGTTGTAGTAACTTAACCGGTTGTTTTGATTTAGTTTATAGGTTATTTTTTGATATAGTTTAATTACCGTGAAATATTTACATTATTAAATTTAACTAAATTTAACTTTAAAATATTATTGGCTTCCAGGCAGAGATTTAAAGTAATTTTAAAAGCTTAAAGTTTAAAAGCGCTTCATGTTGAATAAAAATTTTCGCGCAAGAGAGCAAATGATCATACTGGAAAGATAAAATTAGCGTGATGTACTTATATATACTTTATGACCACTAATTAAAAATTTATTTAAAAAAATATATTCTTTTAAGAAAGGACGCTAAATTAGAAAACCAGTGACAAAAAAAATATTTTTTTTTTAAGAAAAAAAAACTAATAATAAATGTGTAAAAAGCAATCGCGATACGCTTAATTCGAGCCCTGTAATATAAAATAATTAGTTGGCTAGTTGGTTGTACCATGTTTTGCATCTATTTAAAATAAATATGACATCCATTTAAAACAACCATTGATATTCATTTAAAATAACGATGACTTTCCTTTAAACATCTTGACAATCAATTAAAACTATCGCGATTTCCTATTAAAACATTGAACGCATGCGCAATCTTAACATTCTATATTATTTTAAAAAAAAGGTTTTAATTTAATATATATTTTAATTTTTTTTTATTCAATTTTTTTTAATTTTATTTTATTTAAAATTTTATATTTATTTTCCAATTATCCATGTGTGTACGCCTTACCGGGTTTTGCATTTAAAACAAATATGGCATTCATTCCTTTTTTTTTTTTTTTGAAGAATATAGAAAGATCGCGCATGCGTTAAATCTAGAAAATCACGATTGTTTTAATTGATTGTCAAGATGTTTAAAGGAAAGTCATCGTTATCTTAAATGAATATCATGGTTGTTTTAAATGGATGTCATATTTGTTTTAAATAGATGCAAAACTTGGTAAAATTTGTAACTGGCCAGTGAGTGTGTATCTATGACAGTCAAAGTTATCAACTGCTGCTTTAAAACTATGGACTGAAGTGAACAATTGAACTATTTAAAGTCAAATATTTATTCACTTATTCTAAAATTTCTTAAATTAAAAAATTTCTTGAATTAAAAAATCTCCTGAATTAAAAGATTTCTTGATTTTTTTCTTGAATTCAAACGCCGGTCCTTAGTTAAAAACCATATATTTAATTATAGGACTTAATTCCAGGAGAAACGCTATCATTGATGTAAATCAATATGACTTAATCACTAATGTTAATCCATACTACAGATAATTAAAATAATTATATATGTATATATATATACATATATATATATATATGTAATTAATTATATATGTATATATATACATATATATATATACATATGTATATATATATATATATACATATGTATATATATATATACATATGTATATATATATATATATATACATATGTATATATAGATAGATAGTTTAAATCAAAAACTATTTGATTGAAAATGTTTAATTTTGCAAGTTGCTGAAAATTTTTATAAAATATACTGCCCAATGAATAATACTTTTTCAAAATATTATATTGTCTGAATTTAATTTTAGCAAACTTATGTCTAAATTTTAATAGATTTAGAACAATCAGTTTAGAAAATGCTTAAAATATAAAAATAAAAAACAAAGGAATAAAAACTAATGAAAAACTTTGAAAAAGATTTTTTGTTGTTGTTGTTGTTTTTGTTGCTTTTTTTCTATCTAGCTACATTAGAAAAAAGGTTTATCTAGCTACGTTTGAAATAAAAATTGAATAAAAAATTGAAAAAATTATTAGTTATGTAAAATATATCAACACAGGCAGGCTTTTCTTGTTAATATAACACACTTCTTGCATGGTCACCTACTTTCAGAAAAGCCTGCAAAAATAAAGTAAGATTTATAAAATTAATTCAATTATGTAATATAAAACATACCATTGAATATCAACAAATTTTAGAAAATGTTTTTCTATAACAGCTTTTATATCAAACTGTAGGTCTTCATTATAATGAGTTTTGAATTCAGGTTTTAACCGAGTCAGCCACAAACCATTTGGACGTTTACACAAAAGATCTTTTAACTTTCTTTCTAATGAACCAATTTCTATAAAAAAAAATTTGAAGTTAAATAACAACAGAGTAGTCAATAAAGTTGATTAAAGACCAGGAATATCGTGGTGATCAAACTTGAAACTTTTTGTTTACAAAAAAAGCGTTCTACCACTACACCAGAGCATTCAATAAGTATTAAAATCAATGAAAAAAACAACATTTTTTGCCATAATACATTTCATAAACATAGATGATTCCTGCCCTTACTTAACCCAGTATAATCTCAATCAAATATTGTAAAAATTAAAGAAGTATACTAGTTAAATTTTGTTTAAAAAAAACTTGACAAAAAATAGCTGTTGCATAGAAACTAATTAATTACACTTTTTAAAACTTTGTGGGTTTGAATCTCTCACTTATGAAGCAATTGCTATTATCACAGAGACTTCATTTGCTGTTGCTTTGAGTTTTTTTTTTTTTTTATATTAAGTTTTGCTTTGAAATTTAAGATATTTAAAAAATTTAATACCTGATGCAAAAAAAAAATTTATTTGAACTTACATTTCAAACTATATACAACTTTGCCAAATATCCATGTGTATATATTATGTATTTTATTACTCTATATATTACCGAGCCAAAACAATACAATACTTTTCTAAAACTATTTTTAAAAAAACTAGCCAAATACCTTCAGCTTTTATATCAATAGGTGATAATCTGAGAGATGGAATGTCAGTTTCAGATTTAGATTCCTTTTTAATGTGAGACAAAACCTGTAGTATGCTGCTTTTAGAAACAACTTTTCTCTTTTGAGTAAGGAAATGGTAAGTTTCTATAAGTAAAAAATTAACTTTGTGCACTTTTACCATTTGATACTCAAAAATTTTTTGTGTGAAACTTTTTGAACTATATAAAACTTTTCCAAATATCCATGTGTATTTATTAGGTATTATATTACTATAAATTACCAAGCCAAAACAATAAAATATTTTTCAAAAACTATTTTTTTAAAAACTAGCCAAATACCTTCAGCTTTTATATCATTAGGTGATAATCTGAGAGATGGAATGTCAGTTTCAGATTTAGATTCCTTTTTAATGTGAGACAAAACTTGTAGTATGCTGTTTTTAGAAATAACCTTTCTCTGTTGAGCAGGAAAATGATAAGTTTCTATAAGTAAAAAATTAATTTTGTGCACTTTTGCCATTTGATACTCAGTTTTTTGTGTGAAACTTACATTTCGAATTGTAAAAACTTTGCTAAATATCGATGTGTATTTATTACGTATTATATTACTATATATTACCAAGCCAAAACAACAAAATATTTTTCTTATACTAATTTAAAAAATACTAGCCAAATACCTTCAGTTGTTATATCAATAGGAGATAATCTAAGAGATGGAATGTCAGTTTCAGATTTTAAATTCCTTTTTAATGTGAGACAAAATTTGTAGTATGCTGCTTTTAGAAATAATTTTTCTCTTTTGAGTAAGGAAATGGTAAGTTTCTATAAGTAAAAAAATAATTTTGGAGTTTGTTCTACACATTAAGCTATTTTTTATCAAAATTAGATGATAGTAAAATGAAAACTATTTCCAATTCATATAAAATGTGATATTTTTAAAGTAGTTTAAGAAAAATAAGTAATGTTACAAATAAGGTTTAATAAAACTCTGTGCCGTGTATTATGAATTTGATATAAATTAAAGTTTGGGAGAAGAAAAAAAAGAAAAATAACTATTACAATGTCTATTATGAAGTCATGTAGACTCTCAATAATAAAACTAATAAATTTGAGAAAACATTACAAAAAATATGGTATTATGATTTGGTCTCCACAAAAATAAATTTTTAATTCCAAGGGTTCTTCTATCTTGAGGATAGTAGAGCTACCCCTGACCTCTACAAAAGGAAGATCTTTAATAAGAAGAAAGCCTGTTTCTTATGTATAATTAATTATACATTAGAATTAATGCTACTTTCTAATCTATATGTTTAAAAAGAAAAACAAAGAACAGTTTCACTGGATCAGATTGCTTGAACTTTATATCTTTGAGGTTCACCTAGAGAAGTTTATGATCCACATTAGTGCATACTCCAAAACTGATGGCATGCAATTTCACCAAGATTTGAAGAAGATAGATCAGGGGTACAAGGGTCACTGTAATAAGAAAATGATGTAAAATTTTACAGGGCTCAATTTAGTTGCCATAAAATATATATATATATATATATATATATATATATATATATATATATATACATATATATATATATATATATATATATATATATATATATATATATATATATATATATATATATATATATATATATATATTAGGGGTAGTCATTTTGAGGGAATTTTTGAAAACGAAGTACATACCCAGCTAAAGTTGGAGCAAATATGCTAAAACTTAGTCAAAATTTTTTTAGGTCATCGGGTGATTTTTAAGTCCCCCTCAAAACTGTTAAGAAATTGTTCTTCATAAATAGAAAAATTCAGGGTGTTTGAGGGGGATTTAAATGAAAAAATTATTTTATTTATTTTTTTTTTTTTTTGATATTTGTTATCTATATTTTCATTTTAAAAGGGTATGTCATCATTTACTTTACATATTCTCGGTTAAAACGATATTTAAGAAATTAAAAAATGAAAGGTTTAAGTTTCGCAAGTGGTTATGAAGTCAGCAAATTATGTATTTATACTTGAATTTATTCATACTTGAAGTTTATTCAGATGGACAGCCGGGATAATTCCCGCCTAAATCAACCAAAAAAACAAACTATTTTGAACTAAACAAGTAATTTACCATTTAATAAAAATCTTTACAAATACTATCAAGACAAAAATTATGCATTAGTTGAAATAAGTATTTTAAAATGAACAACAATTTCCCAAGTCTGCAATTTCTTTTTCTTTAGTTTAGAGAGTGACATCAGGATTTCTGATAGTTTTTTTTTTGTAATATTACTTTTTCCACACCAAAAACCTTGAAAGTTGACATTACTTTGTTGACAGTTAAAAGTCTGATCTGCTTATCATCTTTATTTTCGTATCTTTGCACAAACTGCTGCATCATTCCGATTGCTTGTTCAGAATGATCATTGACAACGATTAACATATTGACAAAGTTTTTAAAATTAAAAGTCTCTCACTCTCTGATTATCCAACCCTATCATTGAAAAAATTAAATATGAAAACTCATCAACCAAAAGAGAGAGGGTTGGTACCTTTATATTATTTTTGATATTAATCTCGTCTATTCAATCTTTGCTTCTATGTTTAAAAAAATCTGGATCCTGCATTTGGAAGGAAAGCAAAGTATCTGCAATGGCTGTTTTTTTATCCATAGAAATATTTTTATCCAAAAGAGCCAAGGGAATAATCGTTGAATCAAGATACCATGTATGCTTATAAAGAGATGCTAACACAGCGTCTACTGCCTCCAGATTGCAGCAAACTTTCTTATACTCATTCATCTGAAAGATTGCATCAAGAGCAGATGCAGGAGATTGAATCGCTTTATGTGCTTGAAGGTACCACCTTGTGTAAAAACATACTATGAACTCGCAGATGTTTCAAATCTTCACGTAGATTATCATTCTCTTACACAAATGTCAGTTGCTTGCACTAAAGCTGAAGTTTAAGGTAGTATAAACTCTTGTCTAAAAATCTAGCATGATGAACAGCTCCAGTTTTCTTTAACTTGAAATGTGCAGAAAGGGATAAATACTGCATGGTTAGTTCAGCCAACTCTCTTCGGTCATTCCTCATATTGCGTTTTTTAGTAATATAGGTTTCACAGTAATCTAAAGTTTTCCTTGCAAAGATACAAAAATGAATCCTTCAAAACTGTTCCTTCCACGGTTTTCCAATCAAAAAAGTTCAAGTTATTTTTGTCGCATTTGAATTTAGAGTTCTCAAACATGTTTGAACTTTACAAATAAGGGATTTTCAGGCCCTACACTATTCTCTTTTATCACTGCTTCACAGAAATGAACCATTCTAAGCTCAATGATATGATGTCTACATGCTAGTAGAAGAAGGTATTTGTCTACCTCTCTTGCAATCCTAATAAGTGATCCTTTCTTAGAACCAGTATTACTTGAAGTTGTATCAAAGCATACTCCGCATACTTTTAAAATGAGGTCATATTCTTCTAGTATTTTCATGATTCCTATATACATATCTTCACCTGAAGAAGGCGGCGAGGCAGGTATTTCAAGAAGATGCAACACCCCCTTAATATTCACGAGCACAGCTTATCTTTCATTCTTCAGTCTTTTTCCCTAATTCATTTCAAACAAAGTCTTTCCGTCAAAATGAATTATACAGGGATAATGGGTTTTTTCCACGGCCTTCTTTATATCTAATTTAGCAATTTCTGCAGTATCTTTGGCAGTTTTTTTTATCTTCTTTAATGCTGTTGAAGCACTGGCTTTGCATTTTTCGATATCAACTCCACAATTTTGAAGAATTGCTCCATTTATTTTTTGTAAGACATTGGGGGAAATATCATTTGCTGTAGCTATGATAGATACATTTCCATTAAAAATATTCTTAGGGACTTTGGCAATAATGTTACAATCATCTGCTCTTTTATGATCCAAACTTCCGGTTCAAATTCTGAATCAGAATCAGCGCTAGTGTCAGTGAAACTTAAGTCTAATTCTGAGGTAGCGTCAATCTTAGGAGATTCCTCTTCTAGCCTTGTCCTCTTCTTCACACCTACAGAAACCTAAAATTTGTTTTAACATAGTATATATGTATTAACAAACAATGAATGTTAAATTAGCAAATTTTATTAAAAAAGGTCAAATTAGCCCACTAAAAATAACATAAAACCTTTTTGCTAAATTTTCTATCCTCTGATCCCAAATTAAAATGTCTCGATCCTTCCTGGTCTTCCAAAAAAGTTAAATCACTTATCTTTATCTGAGAACTTTTTATCCTTCCTAATTTGATTGGTTCTTTCAATCTGTAGAACCAATCCAAAACAGCTTTTTCAAAAATGAAACAAACTCCCCTTGATTAATCTTGTCTCTAGCTGTTCCTCTGTATTTATTTCTGCTCAAATCTGAAGACTTCTTGTCCATCTTCATTAGGTTCTTGATAATATTTTTATCTGACATTACTTGAAATCCCGCTTTAAACCATGGTCTTTTAATTAAGCCTAAAATGCATTCACAATTATCTACTTCACATCTCTTGGAACTCTGAATCTTGTTAGGAGGGCATGATAAAATTGCTGACTTCTTAACATTTTTAGGAAGTAGTGATCTTCTATAGGCAAAGTGTTGAAGAATATCCATTCCAGTAGGGAGTTAAAGACCTTAAGAAAAAAAATCAATATTTTAATTTTTAACATAAAGTTCAAAATCAAAACAATTTTTTTTAAATTAGATATGCACATGTAATAGCTGGTTTAGCCTCATTTATGATAAAAAGTTTGCTTTTGCTTGATCTGAGAAACTTCCTCTTCCCAATATCTTTTACAATTTTTTTTTCCTTTTTTGTATTCAATCTAAATAGAGTTAATGGTTTGTAATTAGTTAAAAATTTCAATACAATTTTACTTTATATTGTAATTCGATTAATAACAATCAAGTAAATACAAAAGTTGTTTACAAAAATAAAATAATGTAACGCAATTTCACATACAATTTGTTTATAAAAACTCTTAGTGACTTAAAAATACAGTGCAGGATCTTCAGCACATTTTCTTCTGCATTATTTTATAAGAATTTTTTTATCGTTGCCGATTTTCCTAACCTCTTGCGTAAGATAAAATTTTCATTTTTTCCTTTCATAAATATCGTTTTAACCAAGAATATGTAAAAAACATGATGACATTCCCTTTAAAAATGAAAATATAGATAACAAATAACAAAAAAAATGAAAATCATTTTTTCATTTAAATCCATCTCAAACACTCTGAACACACCCTATTTTTCAAGTACAATTTCTTAACAACTTTAGTCTTGAGGGTGACTTAAAAGTCACCCTGCCTATATCATCATGGAAAAGAGTTCTACCTGATGCACTTCATGCTACAAGATCTCTGTTATGTACTTCTACTAACTGTAGTCCACATGAACATCTTTTCAATTTTCAAAAAAGATCATCATCTGGGTCCTCAATTCCTTTATGGCATGTTAACCCAAAACCTGTACTTATAAAAAAAATGTGATGCAAAGTAAATATGAAGATTCAGTAAATGAGGTTCAGCTTATTGAAGCAAATCCTCATTATGCCTATCTGAGATTTCCTAATGGTCATGAGACTACAGTGTCTACTAAACAGCTGGCTCCCATTGAAACAACTCCTATAGTACAAACATTAAATAACAACTTAGAAGTAATAGCTACTGATAACTATCCCTTAACCCCTAATGGTAGCAATGAAACTTCTTTAATCTCCAAAAGAGAACTAGAAAACAAAATGAATCCTATAGAGCAAATCAACGTGCTTCCTCGTAGATCTTCACAAATTTCTAAAGCACCAGAAAAATTCAACTTATAAATGCACCTGAACACTTTTAAGAGGAGGGTGAATGTTATGTTAATATAAAATATTTATATATACATTGACGTTCTTAATTATACTATATATACTTAATGTATTTTTTTATTTTGTTATAGACTAGTATAAGTATAGCTCTTTTGAGCCAAATTAATTTGGTTATTCTTTAGAGCGCTCAAGTAAAAAAAGCAATTTTTATGATGTATTAGCTTTAATTAACAAACTTACCCCTTTCTTAAAATTATAACTTGAATTACTAAAAATAAAATTTTTAAACTTACATTTACCAATATAATTAACCTTGCCGAATATCCATAATGTGTATTTATTGTGTATTTGTTTATCATTATATAATATTAAACAATAGCAAAAAATATTTAAAATATTATGAAATTTAAAATATTAATTTCCAAAAATATAGCCATATACCTTCAGTTGTTAAATTGATAGGTGATAATCTGGGAGATTGAACACTATTTTCAGATTTAAATTCACTTTTTAAGTAAGAAGAAACTTGCTGCACACTGTTTCTAGAAATAACTTTATTTTGCTGTGCAATAGAATAATGAGGAGGTCTAAAAACATTGTCAAAAGTAAATACTGATCTTCTGGACGAAAAACTGCTGCTCGTAGAAGGTAAAGGTGGAGCACGTTTAAAATTCGAAGCGTTTCTATGTACTTTTAATGATACAGGCTTTTTTGAATAACTTTTTTTTTTAGGTTTTTTTTGACCAGAAACAAGTTTAAAAATGTGGGCATCTTCTTTTGAAGCCACTCCTTTTACAACAAAGTAACCTTCGTCTGAACGAACGAGAGAGCATACGTCTGGAATATCACGAAGAAATTGCTCCAAAGTACCATACCCCATTTCCCTAAAAGACAAACGTTCCAAACAAGTCTCTTGATATTCGTGACTCAAAAGATGAAGAGGAACCCCAGATTTTCCATATGTTGTTAAAACGCTTCGTAATAAAGTAATTGTTTTTTTTCTGATTTGAGCTTGAGCATCAGTTTCATTTAACATTTTGAAGGTTCGTAAAAAAATTGATTTTTATATGAAGTCGAAACTGCAGCGCTAGTTGGAATAGTAAAGTAATATATTTTTAACTCTTATTCTGTTATTAGTAATAATTACCGACGCCGCAATATATGTCGCTTTAAAATAGAGATCCATAAAAAGTGCGAATTGTTTTGTAATCTATTTCAGGTAGGAGAGATGCGGCTTTTCTCAAGAGAATCTTATCTTGTTTACAAATCCTGGAAAAGTTTGAGGATTTAACAATTAAGAAAATTTCTGAAAATTGATACATGGGAAACGAGAACGAGCCAAAGTTTCATGCGAATCAAGGCTGAGACGTTCCAAGGAGGGGGGGGCGTGAGTTGGTGTCTAACCTAATAATAGGAAATTATTAGACACTGGAGTCGGCAAATGTTAGCCGAAGAAGACCTTTTTTTATTTCAAAGATGGGCAAATGGGCAAAAATATTTTCTCAGCCATTACTCGGCAAAAAAAAAGGAACCGAACCCCCCCCCCCCTGTAACACTTTTTTGGGACTCTAGCCACGGCACTAATATGAATAGTTTTTTTTTTTTTTTTTTTTTATTTAATATATATTTGCTGTTTATATAATAAAAAATATAATTACAAAAAACGTTTGCATACAAAAAAAAAGTGAATTTATAATAAACAGGCAGTTGCTCAAAGAAGATACGGATGACTAAAGTCACCACAATCTTTTCATAGAGCCCCTAGGTGGGCTTTACAAGTTGAAAAAAATTGTATCTCCAATATAATAAAAAGGTTAAAGCTTGCATAAATATTTCCATTAAATCAAGAAAGTAAATCATATAGTTTTATCAATATTCATTAAAATATATTGGCAACTCTGTTAAATATCAAAATAAGAGCCAATTAACAAGTAAAAAAACTAAAAATAATGGAACTCGTCTATAATCTAATTTATAAATTTCATTTTTTAATATAAACTTAAAGGAATTTAATGATTTTACAATATTTTTGAAAAATGTTCCATAGTTTTGGTCCACGGTATGATATTCCATATTCAGAATACTTGCTATTAATTCTTGGTAATTTATAAGTATTCCATTGGTTTATTCTAAGAGAATATTTTTTGTTTACATTTATTGTAAATTTATCATTAAAGTTTTTTGGAATCAAGCTGTTGTTACATTTATACATAAAAATTAGGTGTTGGTAAATGTTGATTTCATATATATTCATCATTTTCATGTCTTCCATTAATGGTTTTGCATGTTCATTTTTTATATATATATATAAGTCTGCATGCATGTTTTTGTAAAGAAAATATTTTTTAAGTTTTGTTGGTTGAGTACTAGCCCATGTGATAATGGCATAGTATATGAAACAATGTATTAGGCCAAAATATACTAATTTCAGACTTTCTGATGTTACATACGGTACATTAGACCAATTGTTTTATTAATTTTTGATTGAATATAATTAATATGGGGAAGCCATGATAAATTTTCATCAATAAGAATTCCCAAGAATTTTATTGAATCATTTTTACTTACTAGTGCATCATTTAAAATCAAATCAGGTAATTTTAAAGGAAGTTTTTCATCTTGTGATTTTTTATGAAATAAAGTATATTTTGTTTTATCTACATTGAGTGAAAGTTTATTTGCCTTAAACCATTCATCTACATTCATTAGTTCAGAGTTTTTTTTTTTTTTTTTTTTTTTTTTTATTTTAATTCACCTCCTCAAGGCCGAGAAGGCCACTACAGACGAGGAGGCTACTTATTTGTGGCTATAACCCTCTCTCAACTCTATAACTCCGAAACACGAACCTTGACGAAAAAGGCCGCTGCGCGGAGAAACGAGTTGAGCGCGGTACTACCAGGGACGTGGTGGGGATCGAACTCGGAACCACTCGTTTATGAAGCGAGCGCTCTATCACTACACCACTACCGTTCATGTCAGAATAAAGTTGATTAATGTCACAGTTTGAAAGGAAGAGATTTGTGTCGTCAGCAAAAATTATTGAGTTAAGCTTAGCTGATGCATTATTAAAATCATTTACATAAATCAAGAAAAGCAATGGACCAAGAATTGACCCTTGCGGAACTCCACACAAAATATTAAGTTGACCTGATTACTTACTAATAACATATTGTTTTCTCTCAGTGAGGTAGCTTTTTAACCAATCATAGGTTTTATTTATCACTCATAGTGTTTTATTTTTTCCAAAAGAATTAGGCGATCAACCGTATCAAATGCTTTTGATAGGTCAATAAATAATCCTAAAGTGAAACTATTATTTTCGAATCCTTTAGTAATTTGGTCTACTATTTCAATTATTGCGTGTTCTGTTGAATGTTTTTTCCAAAAACCAAACTGTTTTGTGTAAAATAAATTAATTTCATTAAAATGGTTATAGATTCTATTATAAATTACACGTTCAAATATTTTTGAAAATACAGAAAGTACTGATACAGGTCTATAATTAGAGATTTCAGATTGATCATTATTTTTGTAAATTGGACATACTTTTGCCAACTTTAATGCTCCAGGAAAAATTCCTTCTTTTATTGAAAGTTTTATAATATGGAACAAAAGTTTTGAGATGTATTTTTTGTTTGAAATAACTATATTACTAGAAACATCATCGAAACCAGGTGATTTATTCTTTTTTAAAAAAGAAAAAGCAATTTCATACTCTTCATGAGAAAATTCGCGATCTTGCAGCATCGCGCCATTTTAAGATTTAAGATATTTTTGAAAAGAATTTGGTGTAGTTATGATTTTTTTAGCAAGGTTAGGGCCAATGTTTGTAAAATATTTATTTAACTCATTCGAGATTTGTAATGGACAATAGATATCAGTTTTATTGATATTTATTCTTTGAGGTAGTATAGCCGTATTTATTTTCTTTCTTCCCATTATATCTTCCCATTATAGTTGTTTATTGGTTACGTCTTTACCCAGATCTAACCCAACCAAAATGATTTCGGCAATACTTTGCTTAACGCGGACCGCATCAAACGCAAATTCATTGAACTCTTTAACAAGACGGGTAATCTGTAGACTTTATAATATCTAGACCCGTTAAACCCACACAAGGCTAAATTTCATATTAGAAATTTGATTAAAAACTACTAAATTGCTCAGGTTTGTCAATGTTTTGTAAATCAAAATGATAAAATAGATAACAGACAAAAGCTCAATGAAAGAACATTTTATCTCATTCAAATTATAATTTTTAGAACTCTTAAAAGTATATTTTTTGATAACAAAAGATTTTTTAAAGGAACAGTAATATTTAACTTGGGAATTAAAGAAAAATATTAAAAAAAAAATTAAATAAAAGCTCTATACTGTTTTAAATTAATAGAGTTTTTTCTCCTGCTTTTATTTCACAATTAGACCTATCTCACGGGAATTTGTATAAGCTAAATTGTTAAATACAAAGATATTTTTAGTATTTCTTTAAAAATGGTGATTACTTTTTTATTTATAGTTAAAATTGTATTTTTTAATTATTATTAGCTTGATTTTATTTGCTCAATAATTCAAAAGCTATTACAGATATTGTGTAAACTCTAAACTGAAGTACTTGCTTTTGTCGAATCATACTGTTTTGCAAAAATAATCTGTTGATTGGACAAGTCCTCTATATCAAGATTTTTCTTAAAAAAAAATAAAAAAAAAAGATCTTTTGGAAAAAAAAAAAAAAAAGGGGGGGGGGGGCATGGGCCCACTGGTTCCCCCTCCCCCGGTGTCGTCGGCCTTGAATGTGAGGGTAGTTAGTAAATATATACTTTTTTTACTATCTTATACTAAATTTAAATTAGATAAATTTTTAGATTTTTAAAATTTGTTTTAAATTTTTATTTTGATACTACAGAGTTTATTCAATATGCCGAAAACTATCTTGAAATATATATATATATATATATATATATATATATATATATATATATATATATATATATATATATATATATATATATATATATATATATATATATATATATATATATATATATATATATATATATATATATATATATATATATATATATATATATATATATGTATATATATATATATATATATATATATATATATATATATATATATATATATGTATATATATATATATATATGTTGTTGTTGTTTTTTTTTTATATAAATCTTTATTTAAAATTGATTAGCATTACAAATAATGAATTGTACAATTTTCTCTATTGCTAAAAATGTAAGAAGTGTAGCAGCACTAGAGCCTAGGCAAATAAACACTGTTTATTAAAGAGTACTTGTGTGTTGAAAATGCAGCTGAGCTGCCAATGTTGCGTGGCAGGTAAAGATCACTGACACCATCATATTGAATACGAAGGTATTTTTGAATGAAGAATTGTTGGTAAGTTGTTAGCGTTATTAAGAGTTAGCGTTAGCGTTAGCGTTATTAAGAGCAAACGGAAATCGTGAAAAAACATATTTCCAATAAGAGACTAATTTTTTATTTTTTTCTTCTTTTTTTATTGAAAATGCTTTTAAATATTTGTACGCAAACGACTTAAATGAAATCTACTCGCGTGTTATTAATGATATAAGAACCACATTTATAATAACATAATAACAGTAGTCAATTTTTTTATAATTATTTTTTTAAATCATAACTTGCCCAATAAGTTACTATAAGTTACATTAAAGTTACTTTAAGTTACCCTCAAATTACGCAGTTAACGGTAACTAAAAGTAACTGTTTTGGAAGTTACCGAAATTGTCTAACCCTACTTATAATTTAATTTATAATTTAGTCGTTATTTTTTTTACGTTTGCTTTTATTTATTAATATTGCAGTTGGTATCTTTTTTTTTTCTTTTATTTAGGTGTCACTTCAAGCAGTGACGGATCTAGCACTTTTTGATGTTAGAGATAGCTAACTTCCAGACATGGAGCAAACTCCAAACATTTGTATGTTTATACTTATGCCAAATAATGAGCTTTTGCAAAAAGTTGCGATGATTGAAGGTTGAGAACGAAAAAGCACTTTAACTTCATCCCCCACCCCAAACGTAGTAGTAACAAGTTGATAAAATATTTTTTGTA